AGTAGCGGAAGGATATGGTTGGGATATTGCATCAGCGTTACCCGACACACAAGATGATTGGATGAAAGGAAAGGATTTATTAATTGAAAAAGCTAAAACACTTGTAGAAATAAAAAAAGTAAAACAACAAAAAATATATGAGTCAGCGAAAACGAATAATGTGGCGTATGGAGAGAATAAATATTATGATTCCAATAAGTTTTTTCATTCCAACTACAGAAACAAAAACAAAATCTCGAACTCCAGTAAGTGTTATATCTGTGAGGAATATGGGCATTATGCGAATGAATACCCATCAGATTCAAACAAAGACAATTACAAGCAAAGAGCATATTATTCGTGAGGATACACATCCTATAAAAACAAATACGATAGAAACTACAATGGTAGAGATGACGAAAACAGAAAACATGATTGACTACACTCGGGTGCAAAATCAGATATCAGTAATGGGATGATTACACTTAGAACAGCATATAACATATTGGAAAACGAAAATACAGGCATCAAAATTAGTAATAGATTGGTTGGAGCATGGCATATCTTTATTTTCCAGGGGATTAATAACGCTAATGAATTAAGCAAATCCACTTCATTATCCATTAACCGAGGAACAAAATACCTGGTTAGAAATGGAAATAGAAAGGCTAAGCAAAACACAGGCAATTACATTAGTATCCAGTTTCCACAAGCATCCAAAAATATTGCTGGAAATCAGTCCAATATTCTTAATTCCAAAAAAAAGATGCAAAAAATGGAGATTAGTAATCGACTTGAGATGACTAAATGCTACACTACCAGAAAAGACATTCAAATTCGAGGGATTTGAAACATTTCTTCATATGATTGGACGAAATTGATGAATAATTGTATTAGACTTAAAGGAGGGTTATCATCATATACTAATGAATAAAGAAGCACAACGGCTACTGGGATTTCAAATAAAAGGAAAATGGTATCATTATCAGGTAATGCCTTTCGGTCTAAGCCAGGCAGTTTAGATTTTTTTAAAAATAATGCGAGCAGTAATTGGTCATTGGAGATCCCTAGGAATTTTTTGTGGAAATCATCTGGACGATATGTGGATTATGCACCCAAATCGAGAAATACTATTAAATATCCGAAATTTAATAATTCTACCAGATTTAATGAAATATGGATTTGTACTAGCCAAGAAAAGTCAATTGGAACCAACACAAAAAGCAAAATTTTATGGATTGATTCTAAATACGGTAACAGGAATAGTATCA